AGTAACAAGTTTTACAAGAAATGAACTTATTACCTTACTTACTTAACTGTAACCCCTCTATACATCACCTTGACAATAAAAAACGAGAAGTTATCCATGTGATAGCCCGTCAACCACAGATACTTTGTGATGACCTGCAACGTCACCTTCCTAACTAAACACGATCAGTAAACAAAATCAGTCCAGTACTTGTATGCCTTATGCCAGTAATACATCTTGAGTCTTCTTTTCTCTGTAGAAGACTATGAAAAGCCATTGAACTCAAGTTCTCTAAATCTCAACCTCCTGAGAAGAGTTATCCTCCTGATCTGAAGTCATCCTTTCCCAGCCTCTTAAGTACTGGGGTTATAGATATGAGTCACTATATCCAGCTTTAAAATTGAACTTTTAATCCTCTTTTCTTCTTTTGTATCCTTTCTCAGTGCTTCATTTGTAAATTCTTTCTCTTCAGTTAGGTACATTTTCTTTCTTTCTTATTCTCTTTTTCTAATTTTCTCTCTTATGAAATGTTTCTGTATTTCTAATTTTTGATATGTTGATTGGAATTTCTTTTTCTTTTTTAGTGTAACAAGACTTTAGGAGTTCTGGGAAGATGGCGGAGGAGAAGCTGGAATCTGAACAAGCTCTCGCATAGAAAGCAATTTTAGAGTTCCAGTGAACAGTCCTAAGCCAGAGAATCACACCAAGTGTGCAATCACAGGACAGAGAGTTAGGCAAGAGAGGGGAAGCCAAGGCAAGGAGACACATCTGAGCCCTTGCCAGCAACTGCCGCGGCAGCGGCAGCAGTGGCAGAGGCGACCGCAGGGCACCATACCTGAGCCACAGAGAGTTGCGACGAAGGAGCCAGACGCAGTGGGCGAGTGGATTCTACTCAACACCAGCAAGAACCGACAAGGAGCAGACATCTTCATCCTGCAGTTTGCAGACCAGAGACGACCCAGGAACCAATACTCGGTGAGAGTAGAAGCCCGACGACATCCTCACTCCTTCTCAGGGAGCAGAGGGAAGGCCATCCCTCCCCCGCCAGTACCGGAGATCTCCATCTTGGATACCGACAAAGCTCGGAGGAGCTGCTAGCTCCAACTCAGGCCTTGGAATAAAACGAGTCATTTAGCAGGTCACAAGAACTTAATGGCGGCGTGACCTGCCAGACTCAGCTCCACCCAGGGAAAAGTC